CTGTATCCAATTCTATGATTAGAGCAGTCGACTCCAAAGCAGCGGGCTGTATCCAATTCCATGATTAGGGCAGTCAATTCCAAAGCAGCGGGCTGTATCCAATTCCATGATTAGGGCAGTCAATTCCAAAGCAGCAGGCTGTATCCAATTCCATCACCGAGCTGCTGGCCCTTCCAGCCGTGGTGGCATTATAACATGACGATCAATCCTAATATTCGTTTGTTCATAATAGCTCAAGAATTGTCGGTGGGTGGTGTTGACTAGCTACCTTTACCATTGTCTACTTCAACAAATAAACAAAATATTTGCTTTGTGATCTCGTTATCTCTTTAATACTGATAGCTTTTGCTGCACAATGGGCTATTAATGTTGTGTCCACCGCACGGATCGAACTCTGAACTTTAGTGTTATATTGGCCCCTTAGCTTACCGCCAAGCGATCGGGGAGGGAGCATTCTACAGAATGATTTCACTGCGTATATCTTGAATAATGATTCATTTCACGCGCATGTCCTGTATCCTGTATAATTTCGTCATCTCTTTAATATAATAGATTTCCCCCTCCCCCATCCTCTCCGGTATGGCCTGATTATCTCTTGAAAATGGATACGTTTCACGCAGTTCTTTCCGTTATTACCTGGTTATCCTTTTAGCAATGATAATGATCGCTCATTTCTTACCGACGTGTAGTAACTACATTTAATATAACATCTTGTACAATACACACAGTTCTTCTTTTATGTATGTATATATATATATATAATCAGAAACGTTAAGGTCGAAAAATCAAAACAAAACATTTTCAAATTGAAATTTCAATTAGAGGATCAATTTTTAAAATTAATCAGAAGGTAATTCCAGGATCCTAATTGAATTTCGAAATTTCACGTCACTTAAAATATTTAAAACCCAGGTGGAGACACATTCAACTCTACACGCGAGCAGACAGAAGCAATGATCTGGAACCTTGTCCATTGGACATATATAAATTGTAACGCTTAAATTCGTCAAACCCCGAGATCTCATATCTTTCCTTCTGAATCAGTCTTCTATGATAAACAATTTCATCCCCCCTAGTGGCACAGCTGTATGTCTGCGGACTTACAACGCTAGAAACCGGGTTTCGATACCCGTGGTGGGCACAGCACAGATAATCCATTGCGTAGCTTCGTGATTAATTCCAAACAAACAAACTTACAAGAGTTAAAAAAGGAGGAATCCATGGTAAAGGGTGAGTTTGATTTTTACATTTCTTTTTCTTGGGGTTGAATGTGCAGGGGCAGTCTTGAAGGACCAAATGGTGACTCAATTAGCATCTAAGGCGTTATAATTTTTGCGTATGACAATTATGTCAGTCAAATAATTAATATCCAAAACCGTTGGTAGTTGGTGAAACTACATAATAACAGAACTGAGGAAAACAAGAACGATTGACAGATATTTCATTTTTACAGCCATGGTCTTGCCATAAAGATGTCTTTACTGGTGAAACTATGGTCGTAATAAATGAAATAATATTTGTGAAACTGATTTAACTGATTAATTGCTATTGTTATGTAGAAGAAGAAACTGGTTAATCATTATTGTTGCGCAGAAGAAACAGGTTAATTATTATTGTTGTGCAGAAGAAACTGGTTAATTATTATTGTTGCGCAGAAGAAACTGGTTAATTGTTATTGTTGCGCAGAAGAAACTGGTTAATTATTATTGTTGCGCAGAAGAAACTGGTTAATTGTTATGTAGAATAAAGTGGTTAGTTACTATTATTATGTAATTGGTTAGTTGTTACTGTTATGCAGAATACGGGTGGTGGACAGAGCAAAGCTAGCCCATTGTGTAGCTTTGTGCCTAACTACAACCAAACGAAGAACAGAGAAGAGTAAATTAAGGTATTAGATTATAACTTTTAACAGACAGACATGTTTTTTCTGTCCAATTTCAAAAGCACGGGACGAAAGTTTACGAAAATAAAAGAAAAAAAGCGCGAATCCAGTGAAAGTCTTAAGAAGAGTGTGAGTTAACTCAGAAATCGTTTGTTTTCAAAGCAGAATTATAACATATACACACTAGCTGACTACAGTATCCGTCTGTTCATACACTAACTGCTATTTAAATGTCATGCAAATTGATAAAACGAAGCTCCCGTCATATCATTTCCGTTAAAACATTTGCATGTTGATTACCGTACCGAGAGTAGCTTATATGCCTGCTAAGTGCAGTGAGCCTGGGAAAAAAAAAAAAATCTCTACTTTGATGGATCTTTCACCCTGGTCAGCTCGCCAGCCGGCCTGGCGGTTGGAGAGAACACGCCAAGAAACTTCCTGAATATGTGCATTCATTACACGCACTTCATGGAAACAGACGTTCATTATAGACGAACAGACAGACAACATTCGCACTGAAAAAAAATCATTCCATACGTATTGACATACAAAATACGTGCCCGTGTGTGTTTTTCTCCATACGTATTGACATACAAAATACGTGCCCGTGTGTGT